ACGTGCATGACCGATATGATGCTCAAAAAGCTCGAAAAGAGGTGAATCATCACCTGGATTGTGTCGAAAAGGAAACACATCGCGTTCTCGCTCGTTCGCTGAGGAAGTGGGATGCTTGTGTCCCTGAGGAAGGGTAGCACTGCCACAGTCAAGTAAGAGCGCAGCAAAAAGCCACATCCCCAGCTCGATGCCATCCTTTGCTTTCAAAATGAACAAAGGTCCTGTGGAAATGCAGAACGGAGCTATGAGCTAAGTAAAGAGACTGACGCAGAAGCCGAGACCGTGCCAAGCATCCCTCCAGAAGCTGGACACCACTGGCACGGCGGGTGGCACAAGCAATCGATACCCTTTGGCAAGGATTAAGATCCATGCCTCAGCAAGAACAATTACTTGCAGTTGAGCCGTTCAGGAAAGTGGAGCACAGCAGTGGGCGCTACGGCGGGCTGCAAGCAAGATGCCCAATGAATCCATCCCTCTATCCTGAAGCAAGCTGTCTCAGGTAGTGATGTCAGTGGCTTGCGTCCGTTCCTCGCGTGCGACAACCCCCTGCGTCCTTGTTGGCTCTGACGTGAGCTGTGTCACTTCCACGAAGAGTCCAACAAACCTCGCGTGGGAAACTTTCTGCATTGCATGGAAAGCTCCGATCGTCCGTCCCTGTGCTCTGCGAGCTGTCAGTTGGCCGGCTGGGGCGAACCGCCAACTATGCCCTGCTGCTGAAAACGCTGTTTTTTGGAACCAGCCTCTGCCAATCAGCTGGGAAGCAGCCGCGAAAGATCTTAAATCCACCACTCACGGTCTCTTTTGACATCCGCTGTATTCAGTGGCACCGTTGTGAATAGGCTCCAAACTCCAAACCACTCCGGTCTTCATTTCCCAAATCCCTCTCCATGTTTCATCCAAGGAGCACGAGGAAGTCAAAAACTGGGATCCAAAAGCGAAACGACCACACATTACCCTCCGTCTCTGGGTTCTTGCTGTCCTGCACCGGCCCTCCTCGGGCATGCAGTTGCCTGGGACATGTGCGATCAAACATGCCCAGAACAAGGGTACTAGTTACTAGCTTCATAGACACACACACACAGAGACAGAGACAGAGACAGACATCGACACAGGGACAGACACAGGGACGGACAGACAGACAGACAGACAGACACAGACAGACACAGACAGACACAGACAGACACACACAAACACAGACTGACACACACAGACACAGACAGACACACACACAGACACAGACAGACACACACAAACAGACAGACACACACAGACACACACATACATACGTACTTACGTACGTACATACATACGCACGTACGTATGTATATACACATACGTCACATACATATACACATACATGTATCTGTGTAAATAAATACGTACACACACACACATATATATATAATATAAATACACATGATGACTCCGGATGTATGTGTACTCTCTGCCCAGCTGCTGGACCAGTGCCGGATGCAGGCTAGCGCCGGCGGCGTGCTGCTTCAGCAGTTTGAACCTGTAGGAGGTATAGGCTATCGGCTTCAAAGAAATTATCCTGCACAGTGTTTCGGAACATTCCAGGGCCGACTCGACCGCTGGCTACTCCTTCCTGGACCAAGAGCCCCAACACAACCTCTGCACATACAAAACAGGAGCTTCGAAACATCAGTCTCGATCTTGGCCGTTAGCAATTAGTAGCACATGCTTCTGCACTAGTCCTCAATATGCTGCCGTCGAGAAAATCATGTGCACAGCTGGAAGAACGACCTTTCTGTCTGTCGGTCGGCTTTGCACCGGCCATCACCGGCCTACTTGAGTGCCTGACTGCTGGGTGTGCCATCTAGGTCTCGTCTATGCTTGTCATGGGTCCGAGTTGTGTGCGCGTGCAGGCTGTGCCCTCGTGACTGCCTGAACCCTAACGACGTCGTCACAATGAACAAAGCCACGCCGGGTCGAAACAGTTATCTAGAGGTCGTGGCCTGGCTCTTCTCTGCTTCCACATCTCCGGCCACGGATTCTGTGCAGAGTACATGAAGTGCAGCACAGCAAACACCAAGTAAGCCAGGGTTGAGACCTCAGTCGCGTGGAAAACTCAACGGTCTCTTAAAGGCCTTTTGGCTTCGCTTTGTAACCATGTCTTGCATAAGCCAAGGATCTAAGTGAAGCAGTTTGCCCCAGAACATCAGCGGTCGCTCAGCTTCTGAGCATTCCGACTCGAAGGACAGTGCAAAGCCGCCAACCAGTAAACCTTGCCACACTTCGTGGAAAAGGTGCACGTTGTGTAAGCCCAGCTGGGCACAGCACTAAACACCGGTGTCTCAATCGTGCGTGAGAATGGAACCCTGGTCAAAAAGACGCTCCAAGGAACTAAAGAAGCACAGGGGATGTACTCGAGACTCGGTTCGCACCACCGCGCGTCCGCATCTGGCCTTTGTTGATCAATGGGTAGCGCAAGAGAGTGCCGCGAAACACCATTGAAAAGCCAAGCATCGAGTCGTCTTCTGCAGCGATACGTCCTTGGATAGGCCATGAAGCAAGTTTGGCAGCACATTGGCCTTCTATCTGCCGCTGCAAGCTTCGAAATCCTGTATTGCATGCTTTGCACCGGACATGCTCAGGAACTGTGGCAACCTCACATGATATACACCTCAAGATGATTTTCCCGGTTTTCCAAGCTTCGAAAAGAATGAGTCGGAACTCACTGATGTAGTTGTCAGCTTTGTTCCTTGGCGATCCAGCAGCTTCGGGACCTTAGCATACATGCAGTTCAGCCAGCATCGAGCTGTGAAAATGCCACGTGGGACCAAACGATCAGTGTCTGACCTCATCCGCTGGCACAGCAGCCCGTATGTCAAATAGCGACGCGAACACTGAATACCTGCATTCCGTGATGTTGGATATCTCTCGAGCAGATCGAGCCAACCAAACTAGCAAGTCAACACAAGAAAAATCTTTCATCAACGCTGTGCTGCCTGTGGAATTGAGGCTTCCCTGCGAAGGCGGACTTGCGGGAAATCACGGTTGCCAGATTGTCTTCGACCTCAACCACAAATTGAAAAAGTTGAGTCTGATCCCACAAGACATCTGGTAAGTCTTCAGAAATCGAAAAGTATTTGGCTATGAACCAAACCAGGAGGACTGTGCGCAACTTTCTGCTGCTTTGCTGCTCCTTTGCTCCTTGTTCGAACAGTCTGCGCGCCTGGGTGCTCGGAACTCCACACACTTTGGAAGCGGACGCAAGGCACTCTTCGCAGAACTCCTTTTTCCCCCCGCTCCTGGCCTGATCGACCATCTGGACTGCGAGGAGACCGAGGAGTGGAGCTCTTTGGCGACTTCTGGGCCTCCAGTTCCTCCGGTGCTTGAGGGGGTTCCCGCACTTCATCTGAATCTGGACTGGGGACCTGAGTTGCAGAAAGCCGCGTCTCGTGGAGTTAAGATGCACATTTGACTTGTGTTCTGAACGCATGTGGCAGCTCGGCCGTATCATGGGCCCCCCGCAATCTGCACACTCAACCGCTTGCCTCAGATGACTCTGACAAACCATAGTCAATCAGGGACAGTCAGGCCATGCTCCACCGGACCGACAGCACTCAGCAAAGCGGCGGCCGCTCATGGACTCATTCGACGTCTTAACATTGGCATTCGCGAGCCCAGGCACCTAAAACCACCACTGCCTTCGCTGGTGGCTAAGTTGGGCCATCGCGCTGCAGGTATGCAAGCAGTTGCCGCAAAACTCTTGAACGGTAGAGACTTGGCTACATGTTTAATCATGTTTGCCGGATGCCGGATGGGCTTTTTGAAAATCTCCTGCGCTCTTTTGTGGCTCAGTTCCGGCTGTTGCCTCGCCGGCCTGCAGCACACAGTGCTGTGCCTCTGCTCACACATGACAGGTGTGTGCCCAGCTCGTCGCCTTTGCCATTGGGAGCAGACGTTCGCCCTCAGTCTTCAGTCACGATCCTTTCTCTCTCCCTTGGTCGGAAGTACTGAGGTTCGGACTTGGTTCCGACATTTGCCCCTTCTGCGTTGCACGTGGTAGCGTGGCAGCAGCCCATGGATCCAAACCTGCACGTAGTTTTCTAAGTTACAGATGTTTATGGCCTACCTGGATCTGCTCTCGGTGATCTGCAAGGTGCCTGACACCCAGGGATCCTCTTCCTGCTGGTGACAGGGTACAGCCTTCCTGAGTGACGTCGGAGCAACCGTGACAAGCCGAGTTGTGTCGACGACGAGGGCGCTCTGTCAGCTAGGATGGCACGTGCTGAGAATGAGACTTGGCTGGCCTTCCTTCGTCACAAGGCTTGGTCTCGGCAACGGCCGACCGCACCTCTGCTCAAACCGGCCGGATGTTGATGCGGACTCATGAGACCACCGGTGACCACCGCACACTGCTTGTCTGGAATCGGATTGATTGCGCAAATGTCCATGCTGAAAAAACTGTGCCGCAGCGCCCCGCTATGGAAACTTGTGCCATGCCATGATTCCCCCAAGACTGCCCGGCAAGAGAACCTCTATGTTGAAAATAGGGGAGGACTGCACGGCATACGTAGCCTTGCCACACAGTCGAGATCAGTCGAGGTCAGCACCAGAATCCGGACTTGCGGTTGCGCCACAGCTGATTGGCCTTGCGATTCACAAGGTCTATGTGTGCATTTCGGCCGCTCAGGATCAGTGCACTTCGATGGATGCCGGCACGAGGCCTGTGACTTCTTCAGCCAGATCCTGGCTCCAAGTGCGGCTTTGTCAAAAGGAAGCATCTCGCAGACTGAGAAGTTCAAAGATGTCTGGGATGCGCGATTGTGGCCACACCTTCGACCTGCATCCCGACCCAAGATACGGCCCTTGAGACCGCACTTTGTCTGTCACACAAGCAGAGATCTGTTTTTTGCTCGCAACATCATGTCAGAATGTGGGTCAGCTGAAACTCTGTCCTCGAGAGCAGCAAACCTTTACACGGCGCTCACGGCTTACCTTCCCCGACTGTCTGCTGATTCCGCCCTGGTCCTTTACGGACGCTGCCATCGCAGGCTCGATCCGAAGAAAGACGCGAGAAGCACGATGCCTGAAAATACCAAGAGCAGTCTTGGCAGATTCTGCTTCGGCGGTTCACGATCTCGTGCTTGCACTTGTTGGCCTCGGGCTTCTGCCTGCAGTGCAGAAGGACAACATCAGAGACGAGAACTTCCTCAACTCGACAGCGAGTACGTGTGCTGGCACAGGCCAAGAACTAGAAAATCCCAAGTAGGCTGTGAGCTCTGAACCTTCTGAACCGATAGCTTGACTCTTGCTTGCTTTGGTTTGTCGATGTTCCGGGTCCTTTGGCCCTTTCCTGGCATCCCTGCTCTCCCCACATGTTCTAACCCAGCCCTCTTGGCAGTATGGACGTTTTCCATTTGCTTGTCGGCTGAGGCATATGGCAAGCAGAAGCTAATGTAAGCCGGACCAGCCGATCGGGGTGTTACGTACATGCGACCATCACATGCATGTTTCTACCAGCAAGCCTGCCTTATCCGTTGTTCCGGTAGTCTCGGATGCTTCCGCCGATGCAGTGGCATCTGCAGCCAGTGAAAAGCAGCCATCCCCACTTCGCTTGCACTCATCACAAAACTCGGGGAAGAGTTGGCAGAATTCTGGCCGGGCAGTGTTGAATGCGAAGGATGCTCGGGCATAATCCCGACGCTTGCCTTCCGACGTATGCATGCCGCCTGTTGTGCGTGGCTCGCTTGGGTCCAGCATGAAGGAGACCAGACCCACAAGAATTGATTCAATCCGCCAGGATGGATTCCAGCTCTCTGGGTGAAAATCCGACATGCTCAAACACAACCTTGTGTTGATATCAAATCTGCCAGATGGTGTGAGCATGTAAATGGCTGGCGGCTTGAGCGGGTATTCTCGTGGGAACACTAGTTTCCCTTCATAAACACCTCCACGGTAAGGTGTCTCAGCCGGCAGGTCATGCAAAACGAAGTGCCACACTAGAATATTTGTTTCAGATGGCCTGGCGACAATATGGGGGATTTTAGGCGACTGCTGGATGATGGCATACTCACGCCGGAGTCGGGTCAGCGCTGCCTTCTCAGCCATGGCAACAGCGAGGAGTCAGTTGTGCAGGATGAATGAATGCTGTGAGTAGGCTGCGCTTGCAAGCTTCGAGTTCACCGCATTTTAGGTAGCCGTTGGGACAGCTTGGGTACTTTGATATTGGGCTGGGCGTTTCTGGAAGAAAGAACTCGCACTGAAGCCAGTCCAGCAAGCACATAGAGTCCATGCAGTGCAAAATTCACAAAGTGCTTCGACACCTATTGCAGCCATGGGCATGAAGGCACCAAGCTTCCTGAGCACCAAACTTCTCCTCTCGGACCGGCCTCCGAACTCAAGACTATGTGAGCACCGACCGCACAAGAGTGAAAGAAACATCGCATCATTGGCCTGCCAGCTCTTTCTGACGAAGGTGCACCTTTGCATGACAAACGACTGGTTTCCGTGGTTGTGTGTGTGTGTGTGCTCGCGAGTGCACGCGTCTCTTGATGCGGCATTCTGCGACATCTTCCCCCTAATCACCCAGCAAGTCGGCAAGAGCATCTGTGCGCACGTCACATCATGTCAGAACAATCTCGCTCGACATCGGAGGCCTCATCCTCTTCAGCATCGAGTCTTTCCTGAGCCACTAACAAGATAAGCGAGGCTAGGATCATGTGACTCATCGAGCGCACATTGCGTTCGGGACGATGGTCGTGCTAGGGCAGGAGCCTGTAAGTCTTCAGGCCAAGCACTGCCTCATTTCATCGCAACTGCGAGCTCATCTCTGCCCTCAGGCAGCGCCCTCTTGGATGCAGGCTGGAAGTCGCGGTGCTAACATCGCTGCTGCCACAGAAGATGGCCCGGCCCTCATGCAAACGAAACAATGACAGACTCTCCCGAATTCGCACAGCTTGCCTAGTGGCTGTTTGTCTTCTTGGTTCCGACGGGTTTGACAGAGACCTGTTGAAACCATAAGACAATTAAGTGGGGTTAAGTGGCTCCACGTGTTCATTGGGTAAGATCCAGATCTCCCTGGCCCTGAGCTCGGGTGCGCCCCCGGATTGTAGAAACGTGGACCGGATTCCGAAACAAGGGTTCTCTCAACTCAGTAAAGCTATGACTATAACCTACAATCTACCCCAATAACTTTGTTTCGCCTGGTTCGGTTCGACGCAGGAATCAGGAAAGCTTCCACGCACCTACAGAATTTCGTATATTCAGCTTGCCTCTGAAATTCCTGTCGGGGACATCGTTCGTTTTGGCTTTGCGCCGATGCGGAGAGTAGGAAGGGCAGGCACCCACATATACATCGGCCCCGCCAAGGTAGTGCCACAGCTCCCTCCCATTGTGGAGCGACATGGGGCACGCGGCGCGCCCAGGCTGGTCCATGCTTCCTGGGAGCGACACGGCTTTTCCCTCGTCAAAATGTGGGAAGGGGTGCGCTGAGGCGGGCCCTGGAGGAGGAAGGCACGAACGGGCGGCGGGGGAGGCTGAACCTGACACATATAGATCCTCAATAGTACAATCCCATAAGGATCCCTGGACAGTGTTTCCCGCTTCGAAACGTTCAAGACCCGTTTGACGGCCATGGGAAGTTGAGGAAAAGAGGTGCACAAAACTCTTGGAGCTGTACCGGCTCAAGCTTTCGAGTGGTGAGTGGGCGACGTTCGCAGATACACCTTTTCCCCCAAGCAGTGTGGTGACACCACGGGGCTGGCACAGGATGCGGCCATTTGAGGGGTGAGCACAAGCACAGAGGTCCCGACATGCGGCAGTACTTGCGGGAAAGGATTTTGGCTGTGGCCTGGATCCGCTAGTGCATGGCGGAAAGCACTGTGGCCGCGCTTCCGAATCCTCCCGAATCCCTCCAGGATTCAGTGCGTGTGGCTCATGTGGCTCTCGCTCTCGATCACGTGGGTGAAAGCATTGGGGGGGGGGGGGGGG